TTTTTGAGACCGAGTCTTGCTCTGTCACCTGGCTGGAACAATCTCAGCTCACTGCAACCTCCGCCTCCTGGGTTCAAGTGATTCTTCTGCCTCAGCTTCCCAAGTAGCTGGGACTACGGGCACGTGCCACCACGCCTGGCTAATTTTTGTATTTTAAGTAGAGACAGGGTTTCACCATGTTGGCCAGGATGGTCTCGATCTCTTGACTTCGTGATCCGCCTGCTTCGGCCTCCCAAAGTGCTGGGATTACAGGCGTAAGCCACCACACCCGGCCATTGTAACCCGTATTTAAGCTGTTACTACATACTTCAGCTAGTCAAGCAGAAATATTTGTCTTCTTTTATCAAAGTGAGTATTGGATTACATAAGGTCTTCAAAAACATGTCTTTCTTGGTCGGACATGGTGGCTCATGCCTGTAATCCCAGCATTTTGGGAAGTTTAGGCAGGCTGATCACTTGGGGTCAGGAGTTGGAGACCAGCCTGGGCAACATGGCAAAACCCTGTCTCTACTAAAAATACAAAAATTAGCCAGGTGTGGTGGCGTGGGCCTATAATCCCAGCTACTCAGGAGGCTGAGGCACTAGAATTACTTGAATCCAGGAGGCAGAGGTTGCAGTGAGCTGAGATCGAGGCACTGCACTATAGTCTGAGTGACAGAGTGAGATTCGGCTTTAAAAAAAAGAAGAAAAAAGAAAGGAAAAAACCCAACCTCATATCTTTCTTTTTCTTTTCTTTTATTTTTATTTTTTTTTTTTTTGAGACAGAGTCTCACTCTATCTCCTAGGCTGGAGTGCAATGGTGTGATCTCGGCTCACTGAAACCTCCACCTCCTGGGTTCAAGCAATTCTCCTGTCTCAGCCTCCCAAGTAGCTGGGATTATAGGCTCCCACCACCACGCGTGGCTAATTTTTTGTATTTTTATTTTTTGTATTTTTAGTAGAGATGAGGTTTCACCGTGTTGGCCAGGCTGGTCTCAAACTCCTGACCTCAAGTGATCTACCTGCCTCAGCCTCCCAAAGTACTAGGGTACAGGCATGAGCTACCACGCCTGGCCATCTTTCTTGTATAATGTTACTATTCTGCATTACTTGCCATAAATCACATTTTATAATATGCTTAGTTCCCTAAAAAGAAATTAGTTCTCGGCCAGACACAGTGGCTCACGCCTGTAATCCAAGCACTTTGGAGGCCAAGGTGGGCAGATCACTGGAGGTCAGGAGTTCAAGACCAGCCTGACCAACTTGGTGAAACCCCGTCTTTTTTAAAAAAAATTAAATTAAATTAAAAAAGAAATTAGTTATCGTGCTCACTTCGGCAGCACATATAGTAAAATTGGAACAATACAGAGATTAACATGACCCTCTGCACAAGGATGACACACAAATTAGTGAAGTGTTCCATACTAAAATAAAGTAGGCTGGTTGCGGTGGCTTGCGCCTGTAATCCCAGCACTTTGGGAGGCCGAGGTGGGTGGATCACCTGAGGTTGGGAGTTTGAGACCAGCCTGACCAGCATGGAGAAACCCCGTCTCTACTAAAAATACAAAAATTAGCCGGGCATGGTGGCAGTCACCTGTAATCCCAGCTACTCAGGAGGCTGAGGCAAGAGAATCACTTGAACCCGGGAGGCGGAGGTTGTAGTGAGCCGAGATCATGCCATTGCACTCCAGCCTGGGCAACAGGAGCAAAACTCTGTCTCAGAAAATAATTAATAAAGTAAAAAGAAGAAATAAAACATATTAAAAAAGAAAGAAGAAATTCATTCTAAGTTATGCAGATTTACAGAAAGAAACTGTTAGTTCTATGGGAAAGTCTGACCTGCTGTTTCATGGGGCCAACAAACTCTGCTTGGAGGCTCAAGGGTGAATCTTGCCATACATTATTTTCTGTTTTCTTTTTAAAAGATTTTCTTATTTTCTAATTTACAAAGGAGGCTGGGCACAGTGGGTCACGTGTGTAATCCCAGCACTTTGGAAGGCCAAGGTGGGCGGATCACTTGAGGTCAGGAGTTTGAGACCAGCCTGACCAACATGATGAAACCCTGTCTCTACTAAAAATACAAAAATTTAGCTGGGTGCGGTGGTGCACACCTGTAATCCCAGCTACTCAGGAGGCTAAGGCAGGAGAATTGCTTGAACCCAGAAGGTGGAGGTTGCAGTAAACCAAAACTGTATCACTGTACTCCTGCCTGGGGGACAGAGCAAGACTCTATATCAAAACATTTACAAATGAAACTATGCACTGTTTTCTTAGGCATTTTGTTGAAGCTCCAGTTCTCCCATGTTTACCTACCACATTTTAAAAATAGGTAGGAAAGACCTGGTGCGGTGTCTCATACCTGTAATCCCAGCACTTTGGTAGGCCGAGGCAGGTGAATCGCGAGGTCAGGAGTTTGAGACCAGCGTGGCCAATATGGTGAAACCCTGTCTCTATTAAAAGTACAAAAATTAGCCGGGCATGGTAGCACATGCCTGTAGTCCCAGCTACTCAAGAGACTGAGGCAGAAAAATCTCTTGAACCCGGGAGGCGGAGGTTGCAGTGAGCCAAGATCATGCCACTGCACTCCAGCCTGGCGACAGAGTGAGACTCCATCTCAAAAAATAAAAATAAAATATAAAAATAGGTAGGAAAAATTAATTTTATCACTGATTGTCTTAGTACAGAACAGGAAATCTTCTTTTAAATTAAATTTACAGCAGTTCAAAGAGTTTGGGAAGTAAGAATAACCTCAAGCCAATCAGATATTTTACATAATTACAATTTTGTATTAAAATGTAAGAGATACAGATAAAGGATGATTTCAGTACCAAAGATAAGAATTATCTGTTTAGGCTGGGCACAATGGCTCATGCCTGTAATCCCAGCACTTTGGGAAGCTGAGGAGGGCGAATCACAAGGTAAAGAGATAGAGACCATCCTAGCCAACATGGTGAAACCCTATCTCTACTAAAAATACAAAAATTAGCTGGATGTAGTGACGCACGTCTGTAGTCCCAGCTACTTGGGAGGCTGAGGCAGCAGAATCACTTGAACCCAGGAGGCGGAGGTTGCAGTGAGCCGACATCGAGCACTTGCACTCCAGCCTGGCAACAGAGTGAGACTCTGTCCAAAAAAAAAAAAAAAGTTTAATACTAATTTTAATGACTCCAACAATAATATTAGCTTTATAAAGGTATACTTAAATAATAATAATGATCCTTGAATTGTTCTCTCAAACATCACTCCTGGCAGAAATGAATTATATATAGTACTGACTTTCATAGTTTAAGGGAAAATAATAGAGTTTTAGAAAAATACTCATCTTTTCTTAAAAAAAAAAAAAAAAAAATCCGCATGTTGTGATTCCCCCACTGCCAGCTACATTTTAAAAGGCCCAAACCCAAATGTGTTTTGTCCTTTTACCCTAGGAAACTCAATGACTTTGCTTCTTTATTCTTCAAGATTATTCATCCAGGCATTGATAGGCCTGAGCACAAGTTCATTTAAACTAGAGGCTATCATAAGCGGTGGTTTGGAAAGCTACATTATATACTTATTAACAAATATGAAATGTTAGGCTAGGTGCAGTGGCTCACGCCTGTTAATTCCAGCATGTTGGGAGGCCGAGGTGGGTGGATCACCTGAGGTCAGGAGTTTCAGACTAGTCTGGCCAACATGGCAAAACTCCATCGCTACTAAAAATACAAAAGTTGGTTGGGCGTGGTGGTACATGCCTATAATCCCAGCTACTTGGGAGGCTGAGGCAGGAGAATAGTTTGAACTCGGGAGGCGCAGAGGTTGCAGTGAGCCAAGATGGAGCCACTGCACTCCAGCCTGGGCAACACAGTGGGACTCCATCTCAAAAAAAATAAGTGAAATATAAACTCTTTTTTATACCTCCAAGCTCGAGCAGGCAGGCGGAATCCTTAGAGCAAATCAGACTTCCACAGGCAAATTATTTATCCTAGTGAATCTAGATTTACCAGATAACTGTAGAATCCTCCAAACTCCAAAGCCTTGGTCAACCTACCATCACCATTGGCATCACTGGGAGCTCATTAAAAATGTAGAGTCTCAGGTCCCACCTCACACCTAATGAATCCAAATCTGCCCTTTATGCCGAGACCCCCAGGTAATTTGAATGTATATTAAAGTTTGAAAAGAACTGATCTCATGAAATTTTACAGCTAACACAGAGACCTAGGAGAACAAGACTGCAAAAATTGAACGTCTGTAAAATGCTGGAGGCACGAAAATAAAGAAAAAAATAAAAGAGTGACTTTAGGGGAAGAGTTCATATATCATTTCCTTACTACATTTCATTTTTCTTTTTTATGCCTTGCTTTGAAAAACCACCATTATCTTGGCATGCTTTAGATGGAAACCATTTACCACGCAATATTTCTGTTCATGTTCTTAAATAAGCAAAAATAACTCATCTAACCCCTACCACTGTGCCTGGCCCTTTGAAATATGTTTCTTGCTGATGTGCTTATTTCTCCTTTCCAGTCCTGACACAGCTCTCCCTGAGGAGCAGCCACATTCCAGCTCCCAGTGTGCCCCTCTCCACTGTCTCTCCACGCCTCCCCACCCCTAGTCTTCATCTCCTGTGGACGGACATCTGGGGAGGAAGTTTTGTAGCCACACACAGGATACTGCCCAAGATCCAGCGGGTGTTTTCTTCTTGGCTGTTAGATGTACAATTGGATTACTGTCCATTGCTTTGGAAGACAAGAGAAAGTTGAGAAGAAGAACACGAAGCACAGACCCTGATGTGATAAAACATTTTGTGGTTTCTCTGAGTCTCAGATAAACTTCTGCCATTAAATGGCTACAGTTTATTTAAATAAAAAAAAAAAAAAAGAAACAGGAGACATGTGTCAGATGGCTGGCTTTACCTCGATAGCATAAGAGAGACCTAAGATGTGTAAAATACATATATTGTAATATCATCTTTCCTCACACTCCAAATTCAGCTAGGGAAGTTGATTCCAATATTTTTGTCATTGATATTTATTTTGTACTTTATTTGCTACATGATTTATGTCTATAAAAATAATTTCTCTGAGGTGAATTTAATTCATTTATTTTCAGATATTTGCTCAATTAAGTATGAGTTTGAATTTAGTTTGAAATCTGGAATTGGCCAGACTGTGGTCATTTTTCTTGCACAAAATGATAAATGAGGTGCATCAGAATGTTAACAGTAACTGTATTTTGCTGCTACACTGGTATTGTTTATGCACTTATTTTCTAATCATTAACTGCTGGGGTTTGCTTTTGTATTTTTAACTAGAGTTCTTCACTGGACATTACTAAGTAAATCTAAGGAAGAGACTATGTTATGATTTATTGACTTATTCAAGTTTTGATGGCATCTTTAATTTTACTTTTTCATTGCAGTTGAGTAGATGTACTGGTGCTGCTCCTTTGTATGTGTGTATGTGTGTGACAACGTTAAAGAAGGCTCTATAACTTGAAGGGGAAAAAACATGGTGTGTTTATTTAATTACCAGAATTTTTTTTACTTCTCCTATAATCAGGGTCCTACTATGAGTCTTTCCTGATAAAAGGTATCAAGTACAAATGGGAAAATATATACATACCTAGATGTAAGATAGCCTTTGATTAATTAATTTACCCAGAGAGTGTTCAAAGTGTTTGATTAAAGTTGTATGTTTTGTTGGTGTTAGGTTTTTTCATAACAAATCTTCCTTGCCAAAAAAAAAAAAAAAAACCAATAGATAATAAACCTTAGCTCATTGTCTACTTTTGACAAACACTCAGGTGCCTACAAACATTCTATTATCTTGAGATAATACATGTTCCTAGTTCATTTACAGATTCTGCTGGGTAACTTTTATGACTTGATTTAAGGCAGTGGATTTTCATAGCAAAATTTGTTTTGCACATTATCTGACAAACAAGGAAAACAGCTAACAGAGCTGAAAGGTCTAACACTCTTGGGCTCCTTAACCATCAAGTAAGTGCTGCTCACACAACTGCTCCTAGCCCTGATTCCTTGTCTTTGTCAGGTAGCCTTAACTTAATTAAAACCATAAGGATTTGACCTTTTCATGTCAAGACATCTGCAACTTCTCTTCAACACAAAAATGACCCTCGCTGTTAACACAAAGGACAGTTACCAGTGTAGGGCATTGAGAAAAAGATCCAGGAGCCACTCAGCTCATTGAGCGGACATGGGTGGCACACAAATGGAGTGGTCCATCAGAAACCCACTGGTAAGTCGTAAAGCACATTGCAGGAGCTTTCGTCAGTCATATACGCCTATTAAGTAGTGGTCGCTATTACCAAAGCAACCAGGACGCTTTGTGTTCTTTATATGAGTGCTGTTTTCCACAGTGTCATTTATAATGCAACGGTTTGGAGTAAAGAGTTTGAAATCTTCACCAAAATAGGGATTCGGGTGAAAGTACAGAAACAGAAACAAAATAATTCTACATGAAGTCCTAACCACAGCAGCCTGACTTCCGCTCTTTTCTACCTGCATGGCCTTGCCGTTCCTAAACACTGTCTTCATTTCACTGGTGTTGTATCTGCCTGGTACCAGTTAGTGAGACTGTGGATTGTATCAGAGATCAATGAAAGCAAGTTTACCCCTGCCCTCACTTTTTCTTTTTTTTATGTTTCCCCCTTTCTCAAGCATCATGTATTTGGACCTGAGAAGTGGCATAGCTGCTAAGCTGACTTTTAATAAAAACTGTTTGTGCCTGAGGGAAAAATATGCCGTTTTAAAAAGTACCTCAGAACATGTTCCTGTATGGCCTCATTGGTTTGGTTGGGTGGGACTGGGAGGTCAGCAGGAAGTACTGTCTGTGTGTGAATGACCAGGCAGTACTGCCAGTCTGCGATGCTGTATTTGCATTCTTTATCCCTAACTCTGGATTTAGGACCCCATGAGAAGCCGGGTCACATACAAAACATTTATTTCTTCCAATACAAGGTGTATTATTATGTCTATTACAAACTAGTTTCATTTCAGTTCTTTATCTTCATAGAGTGGGAAAGGCTTGTTCTGAAATACTAATTCTATGAAAATATTAATTTTAGTGAATCTTTGCCAAGAAGTTGTAGAAACTTGGAAATAAATTTCTCATTTTCAGCACAAAGTTAAGCGATAGTCCCTAAGCAGTAAGAGAGAATACCATGTATTTACACTGTGGCATCATTTAGCATAAACTGAGCCATATCTATATTTATTTATAGGCATTTAAAATGAATCAATATGTGTAGTGTTGATAAAAATCAGTGTCTGTAAAAATATCAGGAATTCAAAAGGAACTTGAAAAGTGGAAGAACTAGTGAGAACCAAAAATAATAAACCTCAGTAAGACTAATTGAAGACATACTTAGAGAGAAAAAACAACCGTAATACACTAAAAATACTGGCTTATTATTGCAAATGCAGTGAGCCAAGACCAAAGCTAACTAGTAAAAGTAGTTAGCAAAGTAAACAGGTAGTTTTTTTTAAAAGTAAGCACAATTACAATATTGAAAAGAATAGTATGGAGAAATGCTTTTCTACTGAGGATTTTCCTTAAGCAAAAAATAAGAAGCAGCAGCAATAAATTGTCTTTGGCTTGAGTGCTGAGTGGCATAAAGGAGCTTGGCTTAATCTTTCCAGTCCACACATAATCCATTAGATCCCATTCATTTATCCAATTCTGGATTCTAATAAAAGGAATTTGGAGAACCTTGAGAAATAGGAAAGTTGTTAAATAAGAAAAGACCTATTTAGAAATTATGCCTTAGTCTAATGAAGAGGAGGTACAATAGTGGTCTTCAAGAAAAGAATATTTAACAAATGATAGATATCAGCTATAGATATTGTTCTAAGTCTAGAATAAGAAAGTCTTCAGTGTGAAGGATGTATATTAACTCTAGGGAAGAGATTTTTAACACTGAAAAATTACATGGAAATTGATCATCATAAGGAATATTTGTTTTTTAAAAATTGAATATTGATGGTCTAGTAAGTATTAAGTGGCAATATAGGGGAATGCATTTCAGTTCTGGGAGCTCATAATTCTGTGATTCTTTTAAGTTTTAAAATACATTAAAGTTTTACTGGTTAATCGTAAAATATTTTATATTTGAAAATAGGATAGCAATCTTAATTTTTCCAAGATATTGGTTGGAAAAAAAAGGATTGTTGGTGTTATTTTTTCTTCCAGCTATATTTCATGGTATCTTTAAAATTATTCAGAATATAGTACTTTTACTAAAAAACTTCAATTATCAGAGTCTAAAAAACAATGTCCTCAGGAATACTTCAAAAATAGAAGGTATGCAATCCCTTAGTGGGGGCAAACACCTTTCAGATTTTGTCTTTATTTAAAAGGATCTTCAATATACAACATTTGCTTTTTTGTGCTTTGGAAAATATCCTTGTGCAGATTAAGTTCTTCTGTTTGAAACAAGCATGAACCATTGGTCCAGTAACCTAAGAATGTAGAGATTTCTGAATATTCTGTATTAAATAAAGTTCTCTGCATGTCTCAAATGGAGATTACAAAACATGCAAAGGAAGAAATGAAATATCTTTTCTTCTGGGATGAGTGTCAATTTTATGTGTAATTGTCATAATCAGCCAAAAGTTACAATCTGTCCCTCAGAGACATCAGGAGAAGCTGGTGGATCTCCAGTAAGGAACTGTGCTGGTTCAACCCCAGACTGCCACAAATACATTGATATGGTAGGTAGGAAGTAGGGCTAAATTTGAAGGAAATTTATACGATAAAGTTCACAATTTTAAAAAAGTTTGCCCTCCAGTTTTTTGTTTGTTTATAAACTAGAGTGATTTTAAGTAATCCTTGTATTTAAGGCTGCAAAAAATCTACAAGAATATGTTTTCAAGTAAAGGGAACATAATTCTTCAAAAAGCTGTTGAACTGGAGTTATGATAGGTTATGACAGCGTGATCAGTGCTGATATTGACAAGTACTTTTTTACCTTAAAATCAACTTCTATGGAACTACAAGATCAATCTAGCTCCCGAGTGACCTTTTCTATTGTCTGTGATAGTGCCCCCAGGTAAGTTGTGTCAAAAATTAAGTTCTTCTTTATTTATGTGCCAACTTAATTGCCATAGTCCCTGCTGTGTTGCATTTGTAACCTGATCCTATTCTTTTTTTTTTTTTTTTTAATTAAAGATGGGGTTTCACCATGATGGCCAGGCTGGTCTTGAACTACTGACCTCAGGTGATCCACCCACCTAGGCCTCCCAAAGTGGTAGGATTGCAGGCGTGAGCCACCGCGCCCGGCCCTAACCACATCCTATTATGTTACCTGAAAGATTTCATGTAGACGTGTCTTTAGTCCTTATTATTCAAAGTGTAATTGAAAGAGATATTTAGTATTAGGACATGTTTCCCAACGGATAATTTTCCAGAAATAATATTCTACTTAAGAAGAGCGATTGACTGCCTTTAGTGTAAGGGCGAGAGTGCATAGAAATATGCAGTGTAAAATGTTTGCATGTGTTATTTCACATCATGTAAGCTTTCCCATATTCATAAGATGAACGCTATAGAAGTCTCATTTCTCTGTGATCTTCTGTCCATTAGGAATGTAAGGAGATTTTAATCTGTATCTAGTCTCCTTTCCATACTGAAATGCATGGCTCTAATCCTCACTGTATTTCTATCCCTTACTTCTTGAATTATTTAAAATTTTCCCTATTTAAACTGAAGCCTGGATAAGCTGCTGAGCCAGATTATTCCTGTGATTGGAGTTTAATTGCTGTAGAACAGTCGTTGAGAACACATTTTTCACTCTTTTTTTTTCAGAACTACTCTTCGATCATTGTTCTCTAATGAAAACACCGAGAAGTAAATCTGGTGCTTCTTAGTGTAAATATGTTTTTCTTTTTAAAAAGTCATTTTAAAACAAAGATGAGAGAACTATAAAGGAAGGGGAAATATCATTTTATTTAAAAATAACTATTCAATGATAGACCATGGAGATACAGAATGAATCATTGGGTTCATAGGTATGATTTGTGCAGCCAATCTTAGAGGAAATACATCATTTTAACATTCCCACAAAATGTTTAAGCTCAATGGTTTGACTATGAGAGTCAAACAACTATTATTTGGAAATCACTTATGGCATTTTTATAATCTACTCAGTGTTTTTATTTGCATGATTATACTTACGTGATGAACCATCCATGATTCTGATATTGTATTTCTTTCCAGTGTTAACATGTGTATTGTGTGGGCAACCCTGATTTGTACACTGTATTATTGTTATAATGACTCAACTGTTCCTACATTTAATTGCAGTTTTATTATTATGCCTTTTGGGGTTAAATGATGTGAAGTGTTTCCACCTACTGATAAATACCATATGAAAACATGACTAAAAGACTGATCTAAGAAACTTTTTTCTTGTTATTTTTAAAAATATCAATTTCAAAAGAGATGTTCTCAAAGACACATGCATTTATTTTAAATTCAAAAAATTCTTATGAATTTATTATTGCTTGTACTTTAAAATTTTTTTATTGTAGACAATCCTAAGTGAATAATGTCTCATGGGAGAATCCACATGATATGTGCTTGTATTTGTGTAATCTGATCATGCACTTAATGGTTGGAAAAGGCACTCCAGTGCTAAGAAAATAACCAGAAGCCAATATATTGATTCTTATATCTTGGTTTATGTTACCAACTGAATATGGTGTAATGCATAACTTTTTCCAGTAAATAAACTGGTTATTTTTTGTTCATTTCATTAATGCTGCCTTTTTGTCAAATTAAGTGGTTTTTCTGTATGTCGTTTTGATGTATACTTATAAAAAGGAAAAAAATGTATGTGAATTCAGATGTGATCTATATGTTTATTCAAAGTGAGAGCTTGTTTGAACTAAAAACTAAATG